GGTGGAGGCACATCCCGGCAGGAGCACACGTTTTCCGTTTGCTCCTGGAAATGCGCCTCCTCTCCGCCATCGTCCTCTGGCGGGCACCCGCATGCACCCCCGCTGGGCGCTTGAGGACCCGGCGGTGCTTAATGAGCGCGTCTCAAATAAGCCGGGGTTTCTATCCTTCTATTCCCCGAAGTGCAGGACACCCTGGCTAAAGTGTGCCTGCCAGGGACCTGAATGAGGAGAAACCGAGGTAAGCACTTACGTGCCCAAGCCTTCCTTCTCTGCCACTCACCACCTTATGCGTTTTATTGTTATTCCAGGTGTGTGTGTGTGTGTGTGTGTGTGTGTGTGTGTGTGTGTGTGTGTGTGTGTGTGTGAAAGGTGACAGTTGGGTTCCATAAAGCCCGCGCGCGTCAGGTACCAAAATTAAAACATTCTCTTCCAGTGTTCTTTGGTGAGTCCTTACAGCTGAGCCCTGAAACGCTCTGGAAGATTGGGGCTTTCTTGCCGAAGGGCGACCAGTGGACCCACGGGGTGGGGGTCGGTTAACGAGTGTTGGCTCTCTTTTTAGGGAGATGGACTGTCTCGAGGATCTGAAGGATGACATTATACTATCATATAAAATTCCCGCGAGTGGCCGCCTCTAAGAAGGCAATTATCTGATTAAAATCAATGGTGTAAACGGGATCACCTTGTTTGAAATAATCGGAAAACAAAGTCTCTTTTCGTTTATTGTAGGAATTACCTTTCTGAGAAGGGGTTGAATTAGAGAGACCGCCTTATATTCGAAAATCCCACAACCAAGAAGGGGAAGAAATCGTTCAGTCCAGAGCCTCAGCCACCCAGATGTTTGGCCCCCAGTTCCTCCCTTTGCTGAAAAGTCGCAGCGTCCTGACAATCGCGGCCTGACTGCCTGATGGTTTGATAACGAATTACGCTAACAGACACCAGGATCTCCTCCCCCACCCATGGGCTTCAGTTCTGCACAAATGTGGCCAAATGGAGAACTAAGACAATTATCTAAATAGTTGGAAGACAATCCCTAAACAGGCTTTGGTCCGATTGTCTGTGGAGGCAGCACAGTGATAAGTTTTCTAGTCCCGTTTTTGAATAATTACTTCATTTTCCACTTGGTCTTCCCTTAGAGAAGGGGGAAGATGCTTCAGGAGTTCAACGCTTCTCCCCAGAGTTGAGGAGCTGCTAGGAATCCCTGTGCGCTGTCAATCGTGAGAAGTACCTAGGGAGGGGGCTTCTTCCCTGTGGTTTTCCAAGAGGCTTCTCTGATCAGCCTGCCTGTATGTCCAGCAGGCTAGATAGGTCCCTGAACTGGCTGCAGGACATCCCAATTTCCTCCTTTTGGTCTGAGCCCAGAGCCAAGGGGTGTGAGTAAGCCAAAGCAGACAAACAAGAAAACAAAAACAACAACAACAAAAATGGGCAAAGAAAAGATGAGGGTAGGTATCAGACTTTAAGCTAGTGGGGCTGGGGAGGTCTCTTATAGGAATACAAATCTGTACAGGCAGAGGGGCCAACCCCCTGGATACCCCCTGCCCCAGCCCAATTCCTCTAGTTCATTGTAAAATGGAGAAAGCCCTCCTTCAGTTTCCTATAATCCATATTAGAGCACTGTCTCCCCCACCCCTTCCATTCCTGTGGCACCACCAAGCCCCCATTCCTGGCATTTCCTAGAGTGCTTGCCACATCCCCCTTCCTGGGCTTTTTGTATAGGAAGATCCCGGAGAAGTCCTGTTTTAAACATGGTTGTGACACAGCATTCCCTCCTTAGAGCTAAGAAATCTTGCTGGGTCTCAGGAATTATAACCCCACCTGGTGGCTCACCGAGGGGGTGATAAGAGTGGTGGGAAGGTTCCACTGCGCATTCATTCCTAGGGTCATCTGTGGGGCCTTCAGGAGGCAAGTGCTCAAGGTGTCAAAAAAGACATTGAAGGGAAGGGTCCTGCAGAGACATTTCTGCCAATTGAGGCAAGAGTTGTAAGCAAGACAGATGATCGACCTAATGGTGGAGCAGTGGAAAAGATGTACCAACAACTTCTATGAAAAGTAAAAACTTTAACCTGTTTCTCTAATGTTTAAACACCACCAACAACAACAATCTGTTCCTGAAATACAGCCAAAATGTTTATTGGAGGCTTGCTTCCGACTAAGCTTATAAAACATAAATGCAAATTTATTTTACTGGCAAATATCCAGAGTTAAAACCATTGGAAAGCTGAGTTTTATAAAACTGTGCCCCTTCGAATCTCCCCCCTACACACACACACACACAGCATTACGGGTTCTAGTTTCACGCAGCAATTTTTATACCCAAAGCCAAGAGGTGAGAGCCCCTATGCTTTTTTTATTTTTCAATCTACATAACAAAATGTTTGCATTTCACTGGGGGGGGGGGGAGGCTGTGAACTGGGGGAGGGGTGGCACATCAGAAGCCACTATTGCAAAGGAAGCCTGCTGAGGTTTCCCACATTGGAAAAACAAAGCTGTGTTCATCTCCCACACTTCTAGTAGTGCAAAGGCACTTTAAGGACTGAACTCATCAAACAAATGCCACGGTAAAGTTACAGAAGATCACTTTCTAATTCCCCTTCAGGCCCGCTGCTTTTAAGCCTAAAGCCTCTGCTAGGGAGCTCTTGAGACCGTTAGGATGCAGGGATAGGAGTTGAACAAATTCACTTTTCAAATCCAAGGGCTTTCACCATACTCCCTCCACATCCAAGTATTGGTAGGAATCATCAACCACTGATGCTCCCAATGACAAACTTGGGAGTGATTTGGCTTTACAAACAACCTGGGAAAGGGGTAGCACAGCAGACTAGCAAGCACTGATCTGGAACTTCCTGAACATACCCCCTTGGAAAAAATAAAAGCATATTGTAGAAACAGAAAGTCTCCTTCCCTTGCTATAAATGCCTATTTCAAATATATTATATATAACATTATATTATATGTATATACATTATGTTCAAGAGACACAGAACTGTGCCTGCTATATAAGTCAACATTCACGACATCTAACAACCAAAGCTGCAGTCAACTTTTCGTGCTGAACCGAGGAGGCCAGGATTTGAGCCCGGAAGCCAAAAGGGGCTCCCTTGTGTTAAAGATTGTCAGAAATCAGAGGAACCGAGGTGTAAAATTCGACTGGCAGCACACTTCAAAATCCTCTCACCCCTCCAGCTTCTAGGGTTCAATCTCTAAGAGGATTTCTTCTAGAAAAAGTTGAAATGCAAAGTCGCGCTACAGAGAGGGGAGGGAGGCCCCTCAATTTCTTCGTTTCTTTCCCCCACATTTCTCTTCTTGCTACCCAGTTCTCTCCCAGAGACTGCAAGTCTCCAGTGCGTGCACAAAGAGTGGGGGTAATTCTATGCTTATCCCTCTAGAATTTTCGAACTTCCCCGCAAGGCTAGTCTGAAAATTCCCCCAACCACAATTATTATCTGCGAGAAAGCGGCCTCACGCGTGTGCAGATGGAATGGCTGGAGGACGCGTTAAGCTCTTGGATCTATTTCATTCTCGTCATCACACCTGCTAATGTCACTGAACCTGCAGCCTGACAGCTCCTCTGAGACGAAATCTGTCCCGCGGGACAAAGTGGGCAGCATATGGCTACTCACCCGCGGGCGGGCCGCCGGCTGTAGCAGCGCATGATGCCCGCACCCATGGGCTGTCAACTGCGAAGTGTGGTGCCGAGTAGCCGGTGGCCCTCAGTGGAGTGTGCAGTCTATTGGGCCAAACCACGGCCCAAGCTCAGGCAGAGATCTCTACTTCCTCCCCCTTTATTTCCAGAGGGTCAGCCAGTGAGGCCAGGTGCAGCAAGGACACCATCTTCCTTACTGGATATAGTCGGGCTGTGACTGCATTCAAAATCCAGCCCTCGGAATCCCGTTCGGGTTGGGAGAAGCTCCGGGTGGGGGGAACGGGAGACCAAGTAACCCAAGTGAGATTGGCCATTGTAGGGGGAAGGGTAGGAGGAAGAGGAGGGGCTGGCGAAACCCCAGTGCCAGCGTCAGGTCAGAGAAGGAATGGGGAAAGGCCAGAGAGAGATGGGGCTCGAGGCCTCGGTGGACATCTGTGAACGGTGGACAGGAAAGGTCTGCGTGGGGCCCCGGAGGACCCAGGAAGTCGGTGGGAACAATGGGAGTCCCTTAGCGGGCAGGGAGTGAGAAGACAAGCCGAGTGCCTACGTAGAGCTCGTGGAGCGCGGGGTCCAACCCCCGCTGGAGAAGGCTAGGCGTGGGTAGGGGCGCGGGCGCGGGCGCGGGCCCGGGCGGCCGGCGCGCGTGTGGTCAGCCCCGCGGTCCTCAGGCTGCCTGGCGCGGGCCAGCGGGGCTCGGCCTTCGGCTCATTCAGAGGCGGCTCTCGCCTCCCATTGGCTACCGCCGCCGTGGCGGGGCGGGGCTCCACTGCCCGGAAAAAATGTAACTGCGTAAAAAAGTCCTCGCCTGGGTGACGGATGCTCAAAAGTTCAGAAGTTTTCCCAATGCTTCCTTAAGCGGTGGGCGCGCGAGAGACAGAAAAGGTGACGCGGGGGCCCGGGAAGGCGGCCGGCGCGCTGCCCCCCAACCCCCGCCCCTGGTTATTTGGCCGCCTTCGCCCGCAGCTCCGGGCAGTCTCCTGGAAGGCGCAAGCAGAGTGACGAGAAGGGAGCCTTCTTGTTTTTATTTTTGGCTCTTTTTTTTTTTTTTCCCCATTTGCGCTTGGAAGTTGCTCCGTGAGTTTCTCCAAGGCGGTCTGTCGCGGGTCCTCGTCCCGCCCTCCCTCCCCCCCCTTACAGCGACCCTCCGCGTCCGGCGTGGGACTCCAGGCCGGAGGTGCCCAAGGAGCTCCAAGGAGCGCAGGGAGAGGCCGTGCAGCCAGAGAGGTCGGGAGAAGGCGGCAGCCGCTGAGCCAAACGCAGCGCGGCGGGCCAGCCCCAGCTCGGCGGGACCAGGACTCGGACTCAGCGGCCGGCGCGGCGCAGAGCGGCGCGGCCGGGCCGGAGCGAGGGTGGGGGGCAGCGGGCTGCGTGGGGCGGCGGCGGCGAGCCGGGGCCATGCAGGCGCGCTACTCCGTGTCCAGCCCCAACTCCCTGGGAGTGGTGCCCTATCTCGGCGGCGAGCAGAGCTACTACCGCGCGGCGGCGGCGGCGGCCGGGGGCGGCTACACTGCCATGCCGGCCCCCATGAGTGTGTACTCGCATCCCGCGCACGCCGAGCAGTACCCGGGCGGCATGGCCCGCGCCTATGGGCCCTACACACCGCAGCCGCAGCCCAAGGACATGGTAAAGCCACCCTACAGCTACATCGCGCTCATCACCATGGCCATCCAGAACGCCCCGGACAAGAAGATCACTCTCAACGGTATCTACCAGTTCATCATGGACCGTTTCCCCTTCTACCGGGACAATAAACAGGGCTGGCAGAACAGCATCCGCCACAACCTCTCGCTCAACGAGTGCTTTGTCAAGGTGCCCCGCGACGACAAGAAGCCGGGCAAAGGCAGCTACTGGACGCTGGACCCGGACTCCTACAACATGTTCGAGAACGGCAGCTTCCTGAGGCGGCGGCGGCGCTTCAAGAAGAAGGACGCCGTGAAGGACAAGGAAGAGAAGGATCGGCTGCACCTCAAGGAGCCGCCGCCTCCGGCTTCGGGCCGCCAGCCTCCGGCCGCACCGCCGGAACCCGCGGACGGCGCCGCGCCGGGACCGCAGCCGCCGCCAGTGCGCATCCAGGACATCAAGACGGAGAACGGTACGTGCCCCTCGCCGCCCCAGCCCCTGTCCCCGGCCGCCGCGCTCGGCAGCGGGAGCGCCGCAGCGGTGCCCAAGATCGAGAGCCCCGACAGCAGCAGCAGCAGCTTGTCGAGCGGGAGCAGCCCCCCTGGCAGCCTGCCCTCCGCGCGGCCGCTGAGCCTGGACGGTGCGGAGCCCGCGCCGGCCCCGCCACCCGCCCCTCCCGCGCCACCGCACCACAGCCAGGGCTTCAGCGTGGACAACATCATGACGTCGCTGCGGGGGTCGCCCCAGGGCGCCGCGGCGGAGCTCGGCTCCGGCCTGCTGGCCTCGGCGGCCGCGTCGTCGCGCACGGGCATCGCACCCCCGCTCGCGTTGGGCGCTTACTCTCCGGGCCAGAGCTCCCTCTACAGCTCCCCCTGCAGCCAGAGCTCGAGCGCGGGCAGTTCGGGCGGTGGCAGTGGTGGCGGTGGCGGCACGGGGGCCGGTGGCGGCGCGGGGACCTACCACTGCAACCTGCAGGCCATGAGCCTGTACGCGGCGGGCGAGCGCAGCGGCCACTTGCAGGGCGCGCCCGGGGGCGCGGGCTCGGCGGTGGACGACCCCCTCCCCGATTACTCCATGCCTCCTGTAACCAGCAGCAGCTCGTCGTCCCTGAGCCATGGTGGGGGAGGCCAGGAGACGGGCCACCACCCAGCGACACACCAAGGCCGGCTCCCCTCATGGTACCTGAACCAAGCAGGCGGAGACCTGGGCCACCTGGCCAGCGCGGCGGCGGCCGCCGCCGCGGGCTACCCCGGGCAGCAGCAGAACTTCCATTCCGTCAGGGAGATGTTTGAGTCCCAGCGGATCGGCTTGAACAACTCGCCAGTGAACGGAAACAGTAGCTGTCAGATGGCGTTCCCGGCCAGCCAGCCCCTGTACCGCGCGTCCGGGGCTTTCGTCTATGACTGCAGTAAGTTCTGACCCCACCCTGGCCCCTCAAAAGCCGAACTTGATGGAACAGCCAAAGCAGGAACAGCCCAAAGAAAACATCAATGCAAAATCGAAACCAAAATTACCCAATTTCAAGAACTCCAGAAAATTCACCAGCCAACACTCCCAAAATTCAAATCGCCAGCACCAGCCCAAAGAAAACTATTTTCTTAAAAGATTAATTCAGAACCACCTCCACTTTGCCTTATCTAAATAAACCAAAGTATAAACGATTTTGTACAGAGACAGCAAAATCATGGTTTATTAAAGGACAGTGTTACTCCAGATAACACGTAAGTTTCTTCTTGCTTTTCAGAGCCTAGCTTTCCTGCGCTTTCCTCTCCCTCCCCCGCCTTTCCTGGCCTCTCACCTGTAAGATAGTATTTGATCTTATGTTGAAAGGAGGGGAAAGTCCCTATATATGAGAATTGCTTTCTTTTTATTCATGGACTTGTTTTAAAATGTAAATTGCAACATAGTAATTTATTTTTAATTTGTAGTTGGATGTTGTGGACCAAACGCCAGAAAGTGTTTCCAAAAACTGACGTTAAAGTGCCTGAAACTTTAAATTGTGCTTTTTTTCCTCATTATAAAAAAGGGAAACTGTATTAATCTTATTCTATCATCTTTCTTTTTGTTGAACATACTCATTGTTTATTAATAAATTGCCATTCAGTTTGAATGAGACCTATATGTCTGGATGCCTTAATAAGCTTTAATATTAAAAAAAATTCAGAGATACACTAGGAATTTGTATTCACCCACATCTCTGAATATTGGGGAAACCCTCTGATTAGTCCATGTCAAATTTAGCTAAAAGTTTTTTGTTGTTGTTTTTAGATTTTTCTGGCAGCATCTTCTGCAAAATGTACTGTAGTCAATTGCTTTGAGGGTAGTTTAAAAAAATTCCTAAACAGATCTGAGTTGGCATATAAACAAATACTTTTTCAGTAATGACTGAACATGATTTGGAAATTTTAAGCCTATGAATCAGCAGCAGTCTCATCACAGTGTTACCTGTGTGTAGAGATGCAGATGTGCCTCAAGATACTCACAGATGGGGATTTGGCTCCTCTGTCCCGTATACAATTTCAGTGTTGAGTACCTTATACACCCCTTGTGAGCCAGATGTGGAATAGATTTTTCCTATTAATTTCAGTACTTTGGAAGAGGAAAAAATATACCTGTTTTTAAATGTATGTATATAATTCATTCATATTTACAGCCCTTCGTGTGATACATAGAAGGGTTGCTTTTTTAAAATATAAATATTGCAAGTTGGAAAGAAATATTTAATCTTTGGGAAACTCTTTTAGAAGATATGTTTGTAGAAAATTATTATGGAAAAAGATTTAAAGCAATAACAAAAAGGAAAGAGACGGGCAGGGGCAGAACATCTTAGTCCAGGGTGCTTCCCCGCTCCCCTCCCAACCAATTTTTCTTGTTAATTTACAGTTAAACCCAGGGGGCAATTCAGATGGGCCCTCCCCCACTTTTGTAAATAACCCAGGAAATGTAATAAATTCATTATCTTAGGGTGATCTGCCCTGTCAATCAGACTTTGGTGAGATGGCGATTTGATTACAGACATTCAGGGCCTTTAAGTTTGTTTTCGAGATAATGCAGTTTCCTATCTGCCGCTCCTATCTAGAGGCAACACTTAAGCAGTAATTGCTGTTGCTTGTTGTCAAAATTTGATCATTGTTAAAGGATTGCTGCAAATAAATACACTCTAATTTCAGTCAAAAATTGCTTTACGTGGCCTCTGATTCGCTCGGTCTCCTCCCCCAGAGCCGAAACCTAATAGCCGGAAAGATCGCCGCGGCCCTGGCGCGGTGTCTCTTCGGGTCAAGCCGGCTGGGGCCGCCTCGCGGGTGCCTTTAGGTCAATACTGGGCCGTAGCCCTAGGTCTCGGGGCTGCCGGGAACTTCGTCGAACCGCCCTTTTGGGGAGACAGGGGTGAGGAGGATGGGCAAGAAGTGGAGGCGCACCTTGCTTCATCATGGGGAGATGAGCGTGGAGTTGGGAATTGTGGACCGAGTGTGATAGCCAGAGACGGCTTGTCGAGGGCTGGATTGGGGGCGGTAGCAGGTGACCCGCGGCCTGGCCCCACAGACGGGTTGAGCGACCCAAGACCCGGCCACTGGAGATGGTACAGGGGCAAAAGTGTCTAGTTCCACCGTCTGGAGTTGGGGGGGAAGGGGGAGGGAAGCGGAGACCCGCGGCCCGCCGCCGGCTTTCCGGCTGGGGCGCTTCTCTGCAGCCGACCCTTCGGAGTGGCGTCGGGCCGGACGCCGGCCTCGGGACGCCGCTGGCCGACGGAACTCTCTTCCCTAATGAGCTGTAATTACTCGCGGCGGCCCACCGCTTCTGTTTGCGTTTGGAGCGGCTTCCTCCTCCCACGCCCGCCCCGGCCCTCCGCCTCCTCCCCGGGCTCCCGCTGGTGTCTCCGCCTGAAATGAGATGTTTGGGAGAAAATAGCGAGAGCTGTTAGGTTTGATGGGTTAATCACAGGTTGGCTCGGGTGCCGGGAAGACTGCGCGGCGCGGAAGGTGGCAAAGAGCCGGCGCGTGAGTGCGGGGCCCAGGGTGGAGAGACGCGCGCGAGGCCCAGGCAGCCCGCTCCGACGCTCCCGCTTCCTCCCCGAGCGCCGCCTTTGTTTTGGAAGAAACACGTGTGTTTAGGAGCCCGGCTAGGGTGGAAAGGTCACAGGCACTTCATTGCTCACGGTGACAGCGCGCCCCGCCGCACCCCTGGCTCCCTGGTCCACCCGCCAAGGCCGCGCAGGAGCTGCCCCAGGCCGGTTCTGGGGCCCAGGCAGCCTCCGCGGTGGGCCGCGTCCTCGCGAGGCGTAGGAAGTCGGATTGCAGAGGACAGAAATCACTGGGCAGTGACTTTGCGGGGTGTCGCTAAGCGCAACGGACTCGAGAAGCCTAGAGCACGTTCAGCGGTCCACGTGCCCGAGACCCTCCTCGTCTTCTCTAGCATGGTCTGGCTGCCCTGAGAAAGTGCCGGCCTTCATCAGTCGGGGCCTAGGCCTACCTCGGGCCTGGAGAGCCGGGTGGTCTTAGGGCTCAGCCCAGCATCTGCTAACTCCTGCATACCGGGGTGCCTCTAGCTCGTCATTATGGCCTGCGTGAGAGCAGGCTGAGGAGGGGAAGCCCAGAGAGGAAAAGAACGGATCGGGCCCCAACTTCGGGCTGCTAGGCTACTGAATGGGCTAAGGGTGTGCCTAATTCTTCCTTTCTGGGCAAATGGGGGATTGTGGCTTTTTTGGCGCTTGAGGAACCTTCACGCAAGCAGCTCCTGGGAGTGTGCCTTGCTTGCACGAGGAGAGCTTGCTGACTTTCTCTTTGGTTTGAAAGTTTGAAAAATTGGGCATAGAAGACATATGTGTCTCGGAAGGTATTGGTGTGACAAATATATGCATAGTTAATTTCGCCAGTTACCTACCTGATCCTTCCACACTGGAAGAGTCTGTTCATTCTTCTGATGCTTGAAACCCCATGTATGTGATGGTTATTTTCATTATCACCACATTTGGATTCCCATATACACCTGAAGAAAAATCAATTCCTGACAATCTTATTGAACTTGGAATTATTTATTCCTTAGTGATTTGCACCTTTAATTGACTATTTTAACTGAGAGAAAGAACATTTGGGAAATAGCTTTCAGAGGACAAGTAGGACCCAGGGTGGGGAATTTTGCAACTTGCCTGTGTAGAAAACTTTAGGAGAGTATTTTCTTTTTGTCCTGTGCATAGAATGGATGTGCATTAATTTTCTTCGCAGTTTATACCATGAGCACACAAATGTCAGCATGGTACATGTCATATAAAATCTCATATATTGTGTGTTGCACATGGGCTAGGAATGCGTGCTGTTACATAGTTAGGCCTTTAAAAAAATGGGTGGCATGCAAACAAGCATACGTTTTACAATTTATCATTTCAGTGTGTGTCATTAATGCTTATGTTTGCAGAGGAATAAGTCACTTTTGTCCTAGTCTCCTATAAGTTCTTGGCTGTTTTCTGTCAGGTCAGAAACAGGAGTCAGGAAATAGGAATGTCTTTTGGTCCTTTTAGACACCCCTAACTAAGGAAAGGATGAGGCACCTCTCTTCCCCACCCTTTCTGCTTAGTTGGGGGAAGAGTTTTGGTTTTTAAGGTTCCATTTGTTTTGTTCCTAATGGTATAAAACCTTGAGAGACACTGAACTCTGGGGGTTTGTACTGCCTGTTAATGGCCTTACTAAAGCAAGGCTAGTTTGAATGACTGTGTTTCTTTTCCCTCACCCTATATCTTAGATCTAGAGGAGGGGTTCCCATTTGCTTTTAAGTTCCCCACATCAAGGTCCCTATTTTCCAAAAACCTCACTGGATTCTGCCCAGGGTTACAAGGCCAGCTTTTGCTTCTTTCTTTTGCTCTCTCCTTCCCTTCCTTCCCTCTCTTCCCTTCCCTTCTCCTCCTTCCTTCCCTCCCTCCCTCCTTTCCTTCCTCCTTTTTTTTTTCTTTCCTTCTTTCTTTTTTTCCTACCTCCTCATTTCATGGCTGGTTCATGAGCCATTAGCTCTTCTTGCCTGGCCGTAAACAAATGTCCTGTTAGGGGCAAGATTGATGATGACCAAGTAATAAAGCTGGCCAGGCAGGAGAGAATATGATTCAGCAGGGGCAAGTCACATTAGGAGAAAATGTACCAAGAGATATATCAGAGGCTTCACCCCACCACGTCATATTGAGGGCAAGGGGAAGGTGAAGGGGTCCCAAAGCTCAGGAGAGCTCCCAAGAAGGGGAGTCTGATTTACTCAGACAATGGCTACTTGACAGGAAAGGAAACCTACTGAGATTTGTCATGGGCCCAAATGTCAGCATAAGAATCCTGTAGCCCTGCAATCTCCTACTTGGATTTATAATGCAGCCAGTACTTTGTGCTCGGAGGCTGCATTAGTGTCATTTTTGTTGAGCTACTCAGGCTTTCTTTGCTATTTGGAATTTCTGTGAGCCCAATTCCCCATCCCATTTGCTTCAGCTCTCTTTACCAGTGTGTATGTAACAGAACCATTAACTTCTGTCCCTCTCTTTCTCTCTCTCCTTTCATCCTTCTTTCCCCATAGAAGTTCTTAGGACTGATTTTTTTTTTTTCCCCAAAGTCCTCATTTCTGGCTTATACCATCTCTGTTGGTCCCCATTACCCAGCTCCTCTGAGCCTCCTGGGGATACAACCATGACCTCAAGCTTGTGCCCAGGCCTAGAGTTACCCTGGAGCAGGGTAGGCAGGTTCGAGGTCTGAGTGTGACAGGAAAAGAACAATACTTAATTAAATGAATTCCAGCTCCAAAACCCATTTAAGAGAATGAAAGCTGCAACTCTACCAACGTTCTCAATGTGATTAGGAGTGGAAAATTGAGCAAAATGCACCATGTCGGACTTATTGGAAACCAAAATAAGGCCCAACTGAAAACCTTTGTGGCTTCCTTTCCTATCTTACCTTGTCTCCAAAAAGAAACTCTGTTTTATATTTTTTGTTGTTTACTAGATTTTTTCCCTCACTGATTTTAAATTTGCAGCATATTGAGCGTATTATGGTGATGCAGTAGGATCTGGAATTTCCTTGCATCTAGCCTGTCTTGGAGGCCTTGGAGCTCCCCTGAGGAGTGCTCCAATCTTCGTGGCCTGAAAGAACACCTAACATTGCTTCTAGTGAAGACTCTCTGGGATGACAGGAAATCCTCAGGAAGGTGCCTCCTCTTCTGGGGAAGATCTTGCTGTGAGCTGGGCAACTGCCTCTTCACCCAGGCCTCTTGGGACTAGACTTCCTACCCTCTTCTCCTAGCTGTTCTATAGGTGGCCGCTCCCAGGAAGGGGACTGGTTGGGCTGGAGTGGATTTAACTTGGCTCTACTTGGGTGGGCACAGGAAGGCAATTTGTGAGGCCAGCAAGTGTAGCCGCTGGCTTGACCTAGTGTTGGGACCTTGGGTAGGGTAGGAAGGAAGGCAGGCGGGTGGCCCAGCAGGGTACTTGAATGTGGGAAAAAGGATTTGGTGTGTGTATGTTGGGGGGGGGGGAACAGATCAAGAGATTGGGCGGAGCTGAAGAGAGACACCGAAAGCAAGTGAGAATCCCCCCATCCTGTTACATACTCTAGGGAAAAGCAGGAAAACTACACATTTGGCTCCATTAACTCCTAAGGCCTCTGCATTTCCTTCAGTATAAAAGCAAGTCTCCCTCTCAAAGACTGAGGCTGTTCAGGGCTACAGGAGTGCAAGCTCAAGCTCAACTGGGGTGTGGAACACATTTCAGTGACAATTGATTTTTTTTTTTTTAACAATTGCTGTAGAGAAAAAAAGTAAAATCTGGTCTCTGAGGGGAGCACAAACGACTGGGCTCTTGGAGGGCTGGTGCCTGAGGATGTGTGCAGGGATCACATCAGTTCCCTAAGCCTAGTTCATAGCCAGGGTTTATACCGGGATGTTTTTGCAGCAGCTGGGCACATAGGACAGCAGTGGCTGCAGAGCTGAAGACTTCTTTGGGATTCTAAAGATGAGTTTTGTTGCTACCTGTGAAGGATACGCCATGCACAATGAGAGGAGTTGGGTTAACTCAGGCAGAAGGTGTCACTGCCAGATCTTCAGCCCTGTGTCCCAAGGAGAGCTGGGAAGGCGAAAAGCCCTGTTGCATGTTCCATAGCCAAGGGCAATGTGAGTGCTAGATATTCCCATAGACACCTTGGGGACTGATGTCC